GATGGGAATAACAAAATCTTGTTCGAGACGGACTCCATCGTCTAACAACCAATCAAGAATAGCTTTCTTATCACTATTTCGACCGCACACATAATCTTCAAGAACTGTAGACTCAAGGGGTCTTTTGGCAGCTACTTTGCAAGAATTGTCATCAACTTTCATGGTCAATTGGAAAAGACCCAAAGTGTCCATCGCCTCTTTAATAGGCTTTAATCTAACATTCAAATGTTCCACCATGGAAATGGTCTCTCGATTGAGCTTGGCCTTAGATTTAAATGGATTCTTAAGAATAGATTTGACTTTTTGCCCCTTGCTGGTGCTGGCTTTAGAGTGTGCTGTCGAATTGGACCTCTTAGCATCATCAATCACAAACTCTTCAAGTAAGTCCTCCATATCATAAGCCAAGTTCCTGAGATCATTAAGATATAACTTTGTGAACTCGTTGGCAACTGGATTTTCTTCTGCATGTTGAAGTATAGCAATGATTTTGGGCAAAAATGTCTTCCAGCTCTCCATTTGAGCACATACTTCTTTCTCTGAACTCCGTAGTCGATCACTTAGATATCCATCCAACTTTTTAAGTAGCAACTCAAATGTAACAGATAAAAGAGAACCTCCAATAAGAGATAAGATCTCCATTGGATGAAATAGCTTTTCTGCAGAAGAGAGAAACATAATCAAGTACGAATTAAACTAACCTATTGAATATCTCACATACACTTGATTATCATCAAATTAATCATCAAATTAGTCTTTAATGCTAATGGATTGATTTAATTAGTATTGAAATAACAAGATGATAAAAAAAAAACAATCCACTACTGCATTATATATTAAGGAAAAAGTTCCTATCAACCTTACCTCCTAAAGATTATGAGAAAAATCATTTTAAAACTACGTCGTTTCAATAACTTTTTATTGAAAAAGACTAAACTACCTTATTTTTAAAGTATTCCTAAAGGTGATATTTGTCCTTTTTCCTCCTAATTTTTGGGAGGTAAGGCGGACAAGCACTAACCCCATATATTAATAATGTAAATCAATTATTATTAAATAAATTAAACATCGATATAATGTTAAATTATTAATGCACTGGATAGAAATCAAACTTAAAATCTCAAATTATTAAATGCACTTTGATAGAAATTAAACTTAAAATCTCAAGATAAAAATTATCCTAAAATTTTAATAAATTGATATGGTGTTTTTAATTTTTTTTTAAGGTAAAATTAACAAAGATAAAAATTATATTAAATTTTTTATCACCAAATAAAAATAAAAAAAATTATTATTTTATATTAAACATTTTATCTGAAAATATAACAATTAATCAAATAACAAAATTAATCAAATTTCTTAATTTCGTCTAACGCAGCTTTTTAATATTTGCAGTGATACTTTTCTTTCTTCAGTAGGCTTATGATGGTCAGTGGATGGACAAAATATAAGAGTACAATAAAGTCATTGATGCCATCAGGACGCGATTTGCTTTAGATGAATGTTTAAAAATATACCCTACAAATAATCAACACCCGTTTGCTTTAGATGAATGTTCAAAAAATATGCGGCCCTACAAAATTACAAATACCATTGTCTCGAGAGGGCAAGAAATCGCTGGATTCAATCAACTAACTTATTGTGATCATTTTAATTTTTAATTTGCATAGCGAGAAATAGAATTGAAATTTAATTAAATAATATAATATAATTCATGTTATTAATTTTAAATTTTTATTTTTTTAATAATACTTTATAGAGTTTAATTAACATACATAATAATTATATATATATATATTATATCAAATAAAATTTTAATTATCAATGATTCATTTTTAATAATTAAAATATATTATAATTTTTTAAATAAAATTAAAGATTCAAAATTTGAGTTAAATTCACTTTTATACGCGATAAATGTGAGGAGAAATCTTAGCTGGGTAAGTAATTGTTTCTCATGTAGCTGGGTAAGTGATTTTTTTTATTTTATTAATTTTTTGTATCTAAAAATCATATTGAATCATATCTAATCCAGAATCGAGTCATTGGATCCTAAATAATTCAGAATCAAATCAGATTGGATCCCATATGAAAAGAAACTCTTCTAATGCTTGTTTTTCCTTTACAAGATTCAAATTTAAGATCTTATTTAAAAGGAATATAACTTCTTTCACTCAAACAAACAAATCGTTGGTAGGTAAGTGATTATTTCTCATGTAAGATTTCTTACTTAAATTATGTTTAAATTCTTTCCTTCCCTGTAACCCTACACACATGTAACCCTGTTTGAAAAAAAAAAAAAAACTAAATGTGAATAAGAAAAAAACAAATACTTACTGTTTATATTTTTCGTATAAACCACTCGATATTCAAAAATTCATTGAACAATCGATTAATTTAGATTTAAATCGAATAAATCCAACGAATAATAAATCTCCCCTTCATAAATTTTAATAAAATTATATTTTCAAAACTTAAAATTAAAACCTTCGATTAAATTTAAAAAGTCCTTTACTAATTCATTCACCACTATTCGTGAGTAATACTTACCGTTTACTTGCGGCATATGACCGATTGGCATATGAGGCCTACTTCGAGTTGGTTTCTGCAGTTCAAGAAATTGATTTCATCTGGTCACGTACACCTTGTTTGGATAGAAAATAGTAAAGGGAAGGGAAGGGAGGGGAATGGAGGAAAATAAAAGGAAATGGAGGGGGAGGAAAAGAAAGGGAAGTGAAGAAAATAAAAGGAAATTATTTGTGTTAATTTTGTTTGAATAAATAAAAATGAGGAAGGGAAAGGAAAGAAAAGAATTGTATTATTTTATGTTTGGATAATTAAGGTAAAAGAAAGGGAAGGAAGGGAATGATTTAAATTAATTTTAAATTTATAACTTTACCCTTTAAGTTTGTAATGGAAAATGATATAATAAAAAAATTAAGATTAATTTTGTAATTACATTTAACTTAATGTAAACAGCTACTCAAATCCCTCCCAAACTCTTCAAATTGGGCGGATTGCAAATCTACAGATTCGAGGGGAATTGGAGGGAGTCCGAATCAGTACATCTCCCTCTCCTCTACCTTTTTAAAAACCCAAACAGGAGGAAGGAGAAAGTTCCCCTCACTCTCCTTCTCTTGCCATCCGTACTAATCCTTTCTCCTCCCTCTCCGTCTAACACCTCCAATCCAAACAATACCTTAAGAACTTTTTTCCTTTATAGTTTTAAGATGGATTTAAAGGGTTTTTCCAAAAGAATATCCTAAAATCGAATCTGCTCCCCTCCTCCAGTCCCCATCTCTTCCTTTGAGACCGTGAATGGAAAGTCCAGAACTTGTCCCTGAT